TGGGGATGAGTGACAGCACCTTCCCCTCCCACTGCTGAGCTGTGCAGCCTGTTTTGCAAGGCCAGGAAGGAGGCTCAGCCTGTTTCTGTCCCATTAGCTCCCCTTCCCACAGCTACCTCCTCCAGCCAAGGCAGTGAGGAGCGGGATGGCCTGGCTGCACCAGCACCAACACAGCTGCATGTGTTGGGAGCAGGGGGAGGTTGTGAGCAGGTCACTGAAATGCAGCCCTGCTCCCAGTATGGAGCAGAGCCTGGGCTGGGGCTGCAGGGCTGGAAGGTTTCCTAACACCCTCAACACCTGGAGAATGGTATCCCCCTGCCATCCCAACTCCACTCCATCCTGCTCCCAAAGTGGCCAGGCCACCAAAATGAACTGGTCTCACACCTCTTTGCAGTCTTCCCGATGGCTGGGAGTGCTGGGGAGGGACGCAACGGCCTTTAAAGCATCCCTGCCTCCTCAGCCCCTGCCTGCTCCAGCAGAGTCCAGGCTTGTCCTCATTTCAGGCTGGGCAAGCAGAGGCCTGGCCCCAGAGGTAGCGAGATGATGCCAAACCTCCTAATGGAGCTTGACAGCAGTGGGATTAAAAGCAAGATTTTTAAGTGAGATCGCAACCCCGCTGCAATCAGCGTCTGCCCTGGGAGAGCTGAACCAGAAAAGAAACCTCCTGGCAGTGGGGAGAGTTGGGAGCACACACACAGGGCAAGGGCAGAGGGGGCTAGGGGGAAACCTCGCATCTCTCAAGCCCTCCTCACTTCCCCTGCCAACCCACAAGCAGTGGGAAGGAGCCAAGTTCCCTGCTCCAGTGACACACCAGCAACAGCCCCATTTGCAACTGGTCCGTGTGGGGAACAACTTCTGATGCCCCGAGCTTCAGAGGCAGAGTAGCCCACACCACGCACTGCTCACCCTTTCCTCTCTCCAGCTGTGAGCTCAAGGCATCACCCAGCACCCACAGGGACCTCTCCTTCCCCATCTCCTTTTGGTGCTGTGCCTGGAGTGGTGCCACTGGCATCAGGAACAGCAGAGCAGTGGTGGCCAAGATGTGGAGATGGGAGAGGAGATGGGAGAGTAGATGGGAGAACTCACCTGGATGTGAGTGGGTGCTCAGGACACCCACAGCTCCTATTCCCATGGGACAGGGTGTGCACACACCCTTGCAGCTGGCATCAAGCCCCATCCATCCCAGAGCACAACCCTAAAAGGCAGCACTGACCCTTTTCCCACCTGAGGAACCCTCCAGCAGCACTGCTGCCCCAGGTCTCCTCCACCATCCTTCCTGCAAGCAGGAATAGCTCAGTATCTCCCCCAAACACACCCCGAAAATGCTTTTGCAGAAGTTTGGGGTTAAGCTTGCATGGACCATCCCAGGGGCAGCTGCCAAGTCACCCTCCAAAAAGCCAGCAAGGCACAAGCACCATCCCTGCCTGCTCATCCAAAACTCAGTGGCCAGAGGCTGCTGCTCTCCTGCCTGGCAGCTCTTTGCTCCCAGCAAAACGCAGGGAAAATTGGGCCTTTTCACTGCAAGAAGGAGGGAGCCACTCCAGGGACTGGTGCGTGCACTCGGGAGTGGTGGAAAGAGCTGCTGCTCAGGCTGAAAAGCAAGCTCCAAACCTTGTTTTGCAGTGACCTGTACCAAGAACTGGCTTTTTCCTTTTTCTTGCCAAATGGAAAGAAAAAGAAATCCTTCCAGGTCAGAGGAAAGAAAAGCATTTACTTATGGGTCAAGTGAAACAATCCGATGCAGGCTTGACTGCACTTTTATCCTCCCTAAAACCAGGAGAAGATTCAATTTCCATCTGAAGGAACAACTAAAAAAGAGAAAGGCTTTTAGGGTCAGAAGCTTTCGATTTTGTTTTTTAAGCCTAAATGATTTGCTGAATTGAACCCCACTTTGCCAAGCGGGGGCTTGACCCAAAAGTGCAGAGGGGTGGGGAGGGGATGGGCTGATACATCCATTTGGGAAATATCACCCATGATAAAATAGCACCAGGCACAGCAGCAGTGCCGGGGGGGGGCTGCAGCCCCTGCGGGGGGCAGCCCAGGACTCCCCGTGTCCCCGACATGTCACCCAGGTACCCAACCTCAGCTCCTGCTGTGCTGCACACGCCGGGGTGCTGGGAGGGGGCTGTTCAGCCGCCTCCGCAGCACTTTGCTCATCCCAAGGGAGCTGTCACTTCCCAACCTCCTCCCTGCCAGCCGAATGCTTCCTGACAGCCCGTTTAGAACTCAAAGCACCCGATTAACCACCCCGGGCAGGCAGCTGTTCACAGACACCACGAGAAACTCTTCTGTAATGCTTCCCCCAACTGAAATCCCTGCTCTGTGCCCTTTCCAGACCCACCCACACCTGGGGGTGGGGGGCACCTTTTTCAGCTGGCCCAGGTCCAGCTCTGCTCTCAGGTGCATGGCCCCAGCTGAGGGGGAGCCCATGTTTCCATCACCAAAATGCCAGCACTCTCTTCCCACCACCCCATCGAGGGGGACAGCCACTCACCCCTGGCTCTCTCTGCCTGGCCACGCTGACCCTGGACCCCAACACGTTGCCCAAGTCCATTAGCAAGTCCCTGGAGCACCCACCTCGCTGGAGCTTTGCTTGACCCCAGCTTTTAGGGAGAGCTGCAGAGTTGCACTGCCTTTCCATTTTTAATTTGTTCTCAACATTTCGTTCCTCCCCTCTGGGGACTCCCAGCTGAGAACCTAATGCAGGCAGCACAGCCACCCCATGGCTATGGGGAGGGTGGAAATTGGAGACAAGGGAGAAGAAAGCAGCAGCTCCACACCCAGCCACCCTCCTCTGGAGGAGTGGGACCCCTTTGCACACATGACCTGGGACAAGGGGCACCCCCACTGGCACTGCAGTGAAAGGGTCCCCAACACTCCATGGAGATGCTTCTCAAAGAGGATGTGAACACCTCCAGCTCCTCCAGGCACCTGATGCCTGCAGAAATAGGGTTGTCACAGGGCAGAACATCTCCCTCCTCCTCATCAGGCACCTCTGTGGGCTTGGGTCCCCCCAGACTTCCCAGGTTTACCCCGATGCTGCAGCACATGGCCCTGGCACAGCCACTTCTTCCCCACTGCCTGGCACCGTGGCAGCAGTGGCCTGGGGCAAGGACATGCATGTGGCATCACTTTCCAGTCCCTGAGGCATCTTTCTCTTCCCTGGAGCCCCACCTCGCTGGAGCTTTGCTTGACCCCAGCTTTTAGGGAGAGCTGCAGAGTTGCACTGCCTTTCCATTTTTAATTTGTTCTCAACATTTCGTTCCTCCCCTCTGGGGACTCCCAGCTGAGAACCTAATGCAGGCAGCACAGCCACCCCATGGCTATGGGGAGGGTGGAAATTGGAGACAAGGGAGAAGAAAGCAGCAGCTCCACACCCAGCCACCCTCCTCTGGAGGAGTGGGACCCCTTTGCACACATGACCTGGGACAAGGGGCACCCCCACTGGCACTGAACATTTCGTTCCTCCCCTCTGGGGACTCCCAGCTGAGAACCTAATGCAGGCAGCACAGCCACCCCATGGCTATGGGGAGGGTGGAAATTGGAGACAAGGGAGAAGAAAGCAGCAGCTCCACACCCAGCCACCCTCCTCTGGAGGAGTGGGACCCCTTTGCACACATGACCTGGGACAAGGGGCACCCCCACTGGCACTGCAGTGAAAGGGTCCCCAACACTCCATGGAGATGCTTCTCAAAGAGGATGTGAACACCTCCAGCTCCTCCAGGCACCTGATGCCTGCAGAAATAGGGTTGTCACAGGGCAGAACATCTCCCTCCTCCTCATCAGGCACCTCTGTGGGCTTGGGTCCCCCCAGACTTCCCAGGTTTACCCCGATGCTGCAGCACATGGCCCTGGCACAGCCACTTCTTCCCCACTGCCTGGCACCGTGGCAGCAGTGGCCTGGGGCAAGGACATGCATGTGGCATCACTTTCCAGTCCCTGAGGCATCTTTCTCTTTTTCTTCTACTGCCTTAAGCAACAAATGTACAAACGGGGACCTGCCAGGCATGAGAAATGTGACCTGAGCTGCTCTGGGAAGGAAGATGCCAACACACAGCTGGGAAGATCAGGTGAGGTCACCCTGGAGCAGGGGAGTGGTTCTGGGTGGGTTTTCCATCCCCCAGGTGCTGGGGGTGGGTGGATTGATGGCTGTCCTGGCTCAGAATTAAGGCTCAGCTCTTCACTCACCTTTTGTCTTGATTGAAAGGATGTAGAAAACTGGTAAAACACTTCCAGAGCAGACAGGAGTGGCAGAAAATCATAGAAAAAAACCTCCACCCTGGCCCGTTAAGCATCAGAAAAAGCACCACTGGCACATCTACAGGTGGGCACTGAGTGGCCCTTGAAGCCCCTAAAGACCTGAGGAACAGTCTAGGCAGCAGCTGAAAGCCAACATCCATAACCAGGGCACTTCTATTTTCACAGCCTTTCTCTGCATTAATAAACTCAGGCTTGAGGATTTCTGGCCACAGGCAAGCTTCAAGCTTTTTCTCACTGGATTCTTTAGAGATCTCATTTGATATCTGCAACATGGGATTCCTGACACTTTGTATGTGTGGCATCCTAATTCACCATTTTGGGGGAAGGAAGTTTCTTTTTGCAAGCTACCAGCACTTACATGGACTGAGGCCTGAGCTGGGACACCTAAAAGCAAAACCCAAACCATCTCCCTCTGCAATGTCAAAACTGCTTGTGCACTGAGGGAGGGAGGAATAGGCAGCCAGTTCCTCTCTCCTGAAGGATATATAACAAAACATGACACCTGGATGTTCTCCTGAACCATTACATTGAAGAGCAATACATCAGCACAACACCAGTACAGCAAAACCAAACTATTTTCCTGAAAGCAAAAGTAATATTTGTGACAAGTACTGGGCACATCTGAGATGTCAGACTCCCAAGTTTCCCAAGGGATCAAACGTTTCTGAACAAAGAAAATGACAACACAGGCACACGAAGGGCAGCCTTCCTCTGCAGCTGCTCCAGCTTCTCCCCTCTTCTCACACCTTCTTTCTCAGGCCTGGGAGCCACTGTAAGTAGTGGCTGGAAGTAGCCAAGCGTGCAGCAGCCAACACTGTGGAGAGTGTGGTAGGAGGGATATAGAGTTTCTGAGATGGCCCCTGGTCTGACAGCCCAGCAGAGCTGTACGGGCTGACAGCAAGACTCCCAGGAAGCTCTTGGCTCTTCATTTTCTCTTCATCTGCATAAGGAGGGAGACAAAAAAGGAAGATGGTATCTACACTGTAACTCTAAGAGCTCCAATTTATACTGAAATCCCTTTTGCCTGGACTTTACCAAACCATGGCAAGAGGACTTTCTACTGCACATCTGTTTGACAAGCCTGACAGGGTATAATCTAAGAGCTTCTCTTGCTCTCCTCCCAGTGCTCACCTTTGTCCCCCCAAAGGTGGGAAATCAGGAATGAATTGAGTAGCTCCTGTCTGGAGAAAGGGGCCTCCACTCCAGACAGAGGGCAGTTCTGAGGCACAAACTGGCACTGCCTTTGGCAAGTCAAGCTATCTCATAAATTGGGCAAACTCTTCCACCATTTGGAAGATGGAAGACAAACACCCTCACAGGGACCTTACAAGGGTAAAAAAATGCTTTTGACCCTTATGGCTGGGAGACAGAGAGTCAGCGTGAAATGAACAGGCTCATGTATGGAATAGAGAAAGAGACTTCTGCACAAGAGCAGCAGGAAGTCTAGAAAAGACAACAAAAATCACCAGAGAGAGAAAAACCCCTCCATTCATTTCTTCCCATTAAAATTTTAGAAAGCCATTTTGCTGCACAAAGGTCAAACTGATGCATTGCATCCAGCCATTCATTATTGTTCCATCTCCATCCCACAGAAATGCCAACATTTTCACCTCTCCTAGCAAAGAGCCATAGAACCATGAGGGCTGGAAGGGACCTTAAAGATCATCAAACTCCAACCCTCCTGCCATGAGCAGGGAACCCTACCACTAGACCAGGCTGCACAAAACCTCCTCCAACCTGGCAGCACCAGTCCTAGGATACCACACAGTGACCTGCAAGACTCATGGCACAGTAAGAGGCTGCTCTGTTTTCTGCCCTGTTAAAATTCTACTGAGAAATCTATTCGTACTGTTATGGTTGTCCAGCATAAAGGGTGCTGCCATAAGTAGAACAGAGGGATGGACAGCTTCACGAAGTTGGACCTTGTTGGAAAATCCTTCTATCTGACCAGGGTCATCTCGGCTCATTTCTGCTGGTTGCTCGGAGTAGATAAAGGAGGTGTCAAAGTCTTCCACTGACTTGAATAAGACAGCAGGCACTGAGGACTCTCCAAGAGAATGAGGTGTCTGCAAATGTATATAAAAAACTCAGGAGGTGGTGTGATGAGTGCACACTAAGTTCATTAGCTGCCCTGATCTTCATTATCTCTCCAAGTCCACAAAGAACTGGAACGTCAGCAACTACATGATTTTTAAAAAAACCAAACAAACACAGACCAAAACAAAAAAACTATTTACTCACAACCTTGGCCAAAGGGCAGTTTTTTCTGCACAGCAAGCTGAAAAGAATGACAGATTATTGCAAGACACAAATCACCATGTCTCAGCAAAGAATTAACAGCTGGCTCATCTCTCAGCAGCCCCACGCAGAACAAATGGTGGCAATGGCAGAGGGAGTAGGAATTGAGTCAGATGAAGTTCCTCTGCATTTTTTGCTTAAGAATACAAATTAAACTTAAATTCCAGGGATGATCACCCACATCTCGGCCATAGAGACTAGAGCTGATGTTTGTTCTTCTTCATTCAGCATGGAGGGGGAAAATACTGCAATGGCAGAAAAGCAGCAATTCACCTTGCCCAACCACAGCTGTTCAAACATTAGGTGCTTGCTCTCTAGGCTTCTGCTGTTGTCAAGGCAGCAGAAGAAAGGACTGCATCACCATCCATAGGTGCTTCACATCTTGGTGAGAGTGTTCAGAGGATTAGCCCAGACCAAAACAACTGGTTTTTATGCTAACAGATCTAAACAATTTAAATTGCCCCCCACAAAGGGACCGTGAGGCCCACCTGAAGCAGCAAGGAGAGCTACACGGCTGGGCAGCAGAAACTGAGTGTTCACAGAATGCCAAGACAGAACAATTTGAACAACAGGCACCACTGGAGTCCAATTCACCAGCTGCTAAGCTTGATACCACCCCCTCACTGAAAACCTCTGCCTAACATGCAGGTAAAAATAGAGTGGGCAAAGCAGAAACAGGGTACAGGAGTGGACACTGATACTGCTCTGGAAAGAGCTGAGAAGGAAATAATTAAAAAAAACCCCAACAAACTGAGGCCACTCAGTTTACAGAAGAGGCAAATGAGACAGGATACCCTAAAGAGTGCTGTGAGGGGCAAGAAGTAAGGCAGCATCTCTTCCTCCTGATTCACACACCACCATCACTGAAAAGGAAAATGCAAGCAGTGAAAACTGGAAAGGAGGGAATACCACCTGGTGATGCTGTAAGTGCCACAAAACATGAGAGAAAGAAAATCTTCTTGTCTGTCCTCATAACTAGCTGACTAATGCATTTTTTTTCCCTCCTCATGTCTACAGGCAGGGTTATTTTTCAATCCCATGGTCTCCCTTACTAGAAATTCTTGCAATTTCTTCTAAGGACTGTAACAGAGATCACAGCTAGGGACAGAAAATGTGCCCAGGACATCTCAGATTCGGCTAGGAAATTCCTATGCTTTGAAACTCATGCAGTTGCAGGGGAGCATTCAAGTCAGCCAACAAAGAGCCTATCACCATCTACCCAGCTGCCTCCATCTAATCTCAATGTATTTTCTCCCCACACTTGCTACCAGAAACTTTTCTCTCATCCCCTCAAAATCCTGAGCACAAGAAACAACAGCAAAGGGGAAAACATACAGCTCTGAGCCAGTTGTTATTTCTTTGTCAGCTGCTTTTATAAAAAATACACACCAAAGCCATCAAAAGGTTATTCAAGTTATCTAAAAACAAGAATGACCACTTCCAACATCAGCAGCTGAGAAAAACACCCTTACCTTAACCACTGCCATCAGCTCTGTAAGAGCTTCATTTGTATCCTCCTGTGCCAGTTCAGGGTCTTGGTCTGTTGTTCCTGGGACACCCATTTCCTCCAAAAGTGGCAGCACATCATCCTGTGTCTCCTCAGCAGGCAGGTGCAATTGCTAAGGAGATGGACAAAGCAAGAAAAAGGTACAAGCCAGTGTGTGCAGGAGAAAGCAGGATGCACGGGAGCAAATTACAGAGCAAATGTGGCACCAGATGGCACCACTCAGAGATCAACTGAGAGAGAAAGGCAAAGGAGCTTTTCTGTTCTGCTCAGCAGTTTTAACTTTTCTCTCTGGAGAAGTCTGGGCTACTTGGAAAGGACAGAAAGAACAAAGGAGGACAGGAAATAATGTGAACAAGAATCTCAACTTTCACCTTGAGCTCTGTCACTTTAGCTTCTCTCCTCCACAGCAAAACCTATTGCTTGGAAAGCACAGTTTTATTCAAGTTAATGTTTTCTGGTTATTGCCTGCTGCCTTCTGAGAAGCTTTTACCTCACCTCAGAGAAGCTTTACCTCACCTCAGAGAAGTGTCCTAAGGTAGCAGAGCTGATAGAACAGTGTCCAGTCACTTTGCACTTAAGGGCAGGGTGGTGTTATTAATCCTGATGAGGCAAATCTAAGACGGGACAATGCAAAGGGAGTTCCCTGCTGCTGAAGGGGAGTTGACACAAAATGCCAGCCGAGCAGTAACAAGTGTCATATCAGACACATTTCACTCCAGCTCAAAACACTTTGAGTAATTTTCTAATTGACAATCACATTAATGACACAACAAGAAGACAGGAATTGTTTTGGGCAACTAAACAGAACAGCAGGGAAGAAAATGCTTCAAGTCTTAAACAAAGAGAGATCTAGAGGACTGCAGCTTCTGAGAAACGATTCTAAGACCCTTCAAATCATTCAGGAGGAAACGTGAATGCAGTTACATTCCTCTAGTCTCCAAATTGCCAGCCATATCTGACACTCACACACGGATCCTGCTGCAGTTAACCAGATTTTTCCATTAAAATCACAATAAGCTCAGGTTTGCAGAGTCTCAACCACATTCATTTCTTCCAAATACATCCAGATACTGGTTTGGGACCTTCAGTTCAGATGACGTATCAACAGTGCAAAGGCATTAATATCTAAGATGTACAGCTTATATAGCTTCTCTAGCATAGAAAGAAATGCCTCTGGCTAACCCAAAACCTAGGTAAAATGACTGCTTTACAAGTTACTAACATTACACTAGTTTTCACTCTTATTTCAGAGAAATGTCACAATAACAGCTCTGGAGCAGGCCCACTGCTGAACTCTTCAACTGCTCACATTTACTTGTAAGGTGCTTTGGCCCCTGGAACAAAACATGTCATGAAAATATTACAATTTAAATAACACAGCAAAGTAGAGAGAGTCACCTGTAGACAAATGTTCTTGCTGTTTCTAACTACTATATTAGATTGCATATAAGACACTGGGTTTTTCTCCCTGCTTAATCCCACTGTTCATCAGCTTCTCCATCTGTCAAACAGCAAAGGGCCTCCTCTTTCTAACATGCTCTGAAATCTAAGGTGTGAAGCAGAATCCTGGTCTGGGCACCACTCACCTTTAAAGTTATCTTTTTACTAAAACTGCAGTTACATACAAAATTACCCCCTGCAACAACCAGGACTGCAAACCAGTTCCTTTCACATAAACTTAGATCCAGAAAGACCCTTAAAGCAAATAATACACCACTGGTTCTTCTGGTCTTTCCTCACATTTAATGATACCCCAAGTTATTACAAATCCTTTCCCAAATCCCACAGATTTGAGAGAAAAACACCCCATTGCTTGGCTCCCAGGGGTACAAATCATGCAAGTGCCAAGTCAAACTGATCTCAAGAATCTGGTCCTGGTCTGAGATCTTGGCAGATTCCATTCTCTCTCTAACTGAGAAATTATGATGCATATGGGAGGTTAGAGAAACCACCGAGCCACACAGACTCCCTGAAGTCTGTAAAGGTGTCCAAGGACAAGGAACTGGAGATGTATTTATGGCCCATGTGTATTTGTTTTTGCATTATGGTTCTGCTTGTGAAAAAGCAAAGAGAAAACAACTCCACAAAAACTGCATGGGACTAAAATTATGTAGGTTTACAGATCCCTGGAGCTGATTTCACCATATGGTGACTACGCCAAAGTCAAAGTCTCACCTGGTCACAAGGTTCATCCCCATCTAGCTTTAAGCTTGCTGTTTCACTATCTTCATCTAGAGATTCCTG